AAGGCGCTTTTAGAAAAATTTTAGGGTTCGTCACCAAAAAAAATGGATATCTCAAATTGTACAAGGGGGATCCTTTGAGTCGCCAGGGTCGAATCCCTGAGGGAAGGCGTCCGTCCCCACCCCCCATAAACCCGCCCCTGTGACCACTCAATTTAAAACTGCCTAGAACTGCTCAATTATTTTCCATTCATGTTGTTTCCACGTCAATTAGAAAGTTTTTTACGGAAGTTGTCATTTTTACGGAGAGTTAGTGGAATAGGTTAATCCTATAGTCAAATTACAGTGTCTTTTAGTTCGGTAACCAACTGAAAAGCACACAAAACAAAACAAAAATAAACCGAAATGAAGCGATGACATTTTTTGAACAATAATGGATTATAATCCTTATAATAGAATAAAATTCGAGAAAATTTGAGAAAATAATATAATGATTTTTATTGTTTCGAAAAATAGTAACATTATAATCCATTTTCAATCGATTATAATCAATTCTTTTTGAAATTTATGGAGACTGAGTATAAAACCCATTATAATCTATTATTTTCTCTTTTTACTCAGTGCGGGTGTATGTAACTACCATCTTTCCCGAAATCAATTTGGCCATCATTCCCGGAGCATATGTGAAAAAACAGAAAATTTTGGATGTTGGGTGGCTGGAAATAACGAGAGGATAGTAAGAAGGTTCGGTGTCAGGACAAAAGATACCATAACAAAAGCTTTCATGACAAAAGATACCGTGCCAAAAGATCCCTTTTACGAAAACCGCCCATACCATAAGATCCCATGCCAATTTAAAAGGTCCCCTGAGTTATGAACAAAAGTGGTGATCAAAGCTTGATCAGAAAAGAATCTGGACTTATGATATCTCAAAACAAGTTTTGCTATTAATGAACAACGCAAATCTAAGATAAATCAATTCAAACTGGACTCACTTTTGGAATATTATATTGCCAGTTTTTTAAATTTAGTGTAAATATAGCGTTGAAATAGAACAACTCAATTAAAAATGCATACACTCTGCATTCATTGAAACACTCTTTAACAAATCGAACGAATAGTCAAACATGAGTCCTCTATTTGGGTAACCTCACAACATTTTTTTTCATAGCTATGAATTTCAAATGAAACACGATCCAAAGACAGCAACACACTGGCTCTGCAGCAAATGGAGATCAAATAAAAGCCCAAAAAATCTAATCATTTTTAGAGCGATTTAGTCTCAAACTGCAACAAGCAGAGTCACAATCTCAACGCATGACGCTCAAAAGCTCGACTACTAGTTCAGCAAATGAAGGACACAGTTACAAGTCAAACAAATCCAGTAAGAAGCCAGTTAGTTTGCAATTGGTGCAAGACGACAAGGCAACCCAACTGCCTTTGCCCTCCCGTCAGCGATAACGCGAACTCTAAACAGAAATAAACAAATGACATCGCTGCCCACTATTGCCACAGATGACCGTAATTTCAAAATAATGGACTGTTTTAAGCAGTTTTGTCTTTTTTGATAGCGGAAAAGCACATACATAACGCATATTGATTTTGGGCGATATTGAGACCCTCAATGCACTGAAATTGTACAACAGAACCTGGTTTGTAAACAGTGCTTTCACAATTTGCCCCAGTCAGTTTTACCAGCTCTTCGCTGTACAAACGCAAACTGATGGTTTTCTTTACTTTGCGTCTACGCTCTCCTTAGCAAAAAACGCTTATCAAACTATAACAGATTTCTAACAGCACTTAAATCGCTTTTCGGTGACTTAACACCTGAAACATATTTGATCAACTTGGAAATTGCGGGATTGAATGCCTTTGCGTCTCATTAACAAACTGACATAACGGGATGCTATTTTCATCTCTGTCAGAGGTTTAAGCGGAAAATATCCAAATTGGGCCTTAAAAAGATTTAGGAATCTAACAGCGAGCTAGTTTTTTAGCACTGAATACAGTTTCTGCTCCTAGTTTTGGGTCGGAGTCTAACATGGAAACAGTTTCCGATCTAGTAATTGAGCAAATATGCAGTGTTGCAACCAAACTGGATATTTCATAAAACACTCTCAAAAAATTAGACGAGGTCTCGGCTTACTTCCAAAAATTGTATATTAAAGGACATTTAATTGGCCGAAAAATACTCTTTCTTATATTTTTACGGAATCACTATCAAAATGCTGTGTGTGGTCTATCCCGAACCTTTAATGCAATTGAAGGGTGGCATCTAGGTGTAGCCGCTTTGCTTCAAAACAGCCATTCTTCAAAATATACGTTTGCTGAAAAAATGTAACTAGATTTTTATAATCTACAAATTTATTTTCTGAAGAAATCCAGCGGTATTATTATTTTATCCCGGAAAAGGTACCGTGAATTGAATGAAACTAGACAACTAGTTCAAACATAGATTCTAACATAAAGCCTTATACCCGTTCACTTGTTCATTTAACCTATAAAAATTATTTAGTTATTGCTTAATTTCTCCTGAATATAAGTTAGTTGGATCAATTTTTTATACACGTCTTCTAGCACCCTCCCGGACAACGGCACAACGCAATACTACGACTCGCATTCAAAAATGTTGTCTCTAGCCCTGAGCAATTGCCCCCATTTATTGGATCTTAGGTTGGTGGTAGGGGCCTGTCGGCCCTTTGAGTGTTGCGTTAAAAAATTGACCAAAGTGATCAAAAATCAAAAAATGATTTTTTATTGAAATAGAAAAAAATTGCAAGTAATTCGAAAGAAAATGATTTCAAAGCTTAAGAGAAAAGTAAAAAGTTAAAAGTAAAACAAAAACGATTTTTTTACTGGAGATTTTTTTGTGAAAATCACGCCCCCACAAGCCATATAAGGTATAAAGTCATCATTTTTGCTCCTCATATCAAAGCAACTGTGGCAATTAGGCTTGCTTCGACCAAATTAGAACAATTTCTACGACGGATTGAACCTCAGATTACGCTCTAATTAAGCGAAATTTATCGCGCGTTGTTAATTATCCCAAATAGGCAAAATGACAATTTTTAAACCCCATAACTTTAAGACAATTAATCGCAAGTGAAAGTTATTTTTATATTTAAAGTCAGGGCAACAATACTTTTTGAATAAAATTTTAAAAATCTGTCAAAATTTACTAAGTAAAAAGTCGAATTTGTCTGAAGAAAAAAAACCAACCCGAGTAAAATATTCCGTTACTTTCGTTGCAAAAGTCGGAACAATAACAAAATTATTTTGCTTTTTGGGCGTTTTAATGTAGACAAAGTACGGTCATGAAAAATTAACGTAAGAAATTATAGTTATATTTATTTATGTTTCCTAAATTAGTGTTATCATTTAAAAGGCACCAAATCGGAATCATAATTTATACAGTTTGATTTATACAGGGTTAGATTTACAAAGATGAGATGCCATTCACGACTAGCCAATCTGGAGTCAAGCAGCTCAGCTTCAGAGCCAATGGTTTCAGTTTTTATGTTCGATAATTGAGTTTTTTTTCTCTGTAATCAAAGTTTCATAGCTGAACTTGCTTCTCATCTAGATTTTTTTGCTTAATTAAAATGAAAAAAAAAAACGTTCGTATCAGGTCGAAACGTTGTTGTTCCCACTGCCTTTAAGGGTCTATGGAGCACAGAAAAAACATGAAAAAAATAAAAGTAATAAAAAACGATTTTTTACTGGAGAATTTTTTGTGAAAATCACGCCCGCACAAGCCATATAAGGTATAAAGTCATCAGTTTTGCTCCTCATATCAAAGCAACTGTGGCAATTAGGCTTGCTTCGACCAATTTAGAACGATTTCTACGACGGATTGAATCTCAGATTACGCTCTAATTGCGCAAAATATATCGCGCGTTGTTAATTATCCCAAAAAGGCAAAATGACAATTTATAAACCCCATAACTTTAAGGCAATTAATTGCAAGTGAAAATTATTTTTTTTACATGTAAAGTCAGGGCAACAATACTTTTTGAATAAATTTTTAAAAATCTGTCAAATCTTACTAAGTGAAAAGTCGAATTTGTCTGAAGAAAAAAAACCAACCCGAGTAAAATATTCCGTTACTTTCGTTGCAAAAGTCGGAACAATAACAAAATTCTTTTGCTTTTTGGGCGTTTTAATGTAGCCAAAGTACGGTCATGAAAAATTAACGTAAGAAATTATAGTTATAATTATTTATGTTTCTTAAATTAGTGTTATCATTTAAAAGGCACCAAATCGGAATCATAATTTATACAGTTTGATTTATACAGGGTTAGATTTACAAAGATGAGATGCCATTCATGACTAGCCAATCTGGAGTCAAGCAGCTCAGCTTCAGAGCCAATGGTTTTAGTTTTTATGTCTCGATAATTGAGTTTTTTTTCTCTTTAATCAAAGTTTCATAGCTAAACTTGCTTCTCATCTAGATTTTTTTTGCTTAATTAAAATGAAAAAAAAACTTTCGTATCAGGTCGAAATGCTGTTGTTCCCACTGCCTTTAAGGGTCTATGGAGCACAGTAAAAACATGAAAAAAATAAAAGTAATAAAAAACGATTTTTTTACTGGAGAATTTTTTGTGAAAATCACACCCCCACAAGCCATATAAGGTATAAAGTCATCAGTTTTGCTCCTCATATCAAAGCAACTGTGGCAATTAGGCTTGCTTCGACCAATTTAGAACGATATCTACGACGGATTGAATCTCAGATTACGCTCTAATTGCGCGAAATATATCGCGCGTTGTTAATTATCCCAAAAAGGCAAAATGACAATTTTTAAACCCCATAACTTTAAGACAATTAATTACAAGTGAAAATTATTTTTTTTACATGTAAAGTCAGGGCAACAATACTTTTTGATTAAAATTTTAAAATTCTGTCAAAATTTACTAAGTGAAAAGTCGAATTTGTCTGAAGAAAAAAAACCAACCCGAGTAAAATATTCCGTTACTTTCATTGCAAAAGTCGGAACAATAGCAAAATTCTTTTGCTTTTTGGGCCTTTTAATGTAGCCAAAGTACGGTCATGAAAAATTAACGTAAGATATTATAGTTATATTTATTTATGTTTCTTAAATTAGTGTTATCATTTAAAAGGCACCAAATCGGAATCATGATTTATACAGTTTTATTTATACAGGGTTAGATTTACAAATATGAGATGCCAATCACGACTCTAGCCAATCTGGAGTCAAGCAGCTCAGCTTCAGAGCCAATGGTTTCAGTTTTTATGTCTCGATAATTGAGTTTTTTTTGTCGAACTAAAACTAAATGTTTGCTTTTTTTGGTTGCGAGTTTTTTGTTGATCAATTCTGCTGAAGCTTTTTTGTGGGCAGTATAATTTTCTGTTGGCCTCTTGATTTGTCAAATGAGTCTTCTCAGAGCATATTGTGGGGTTGTGAGTTGGTGAGCACAATCTGTTCTGCCTGGATATTAGTCATATTTGCGGCTGAAGTGTTGGTTACCGCCCAGTACTCCCCGTTTAGATGGGCGTGTTCTACAGTTGCCATGAGTGATGGGTGGGTGGAAGGGTGTTGGCTGTGGTGGTATCTTCCTGATGCTAGAAGGTGGTGGGGGTGGGGCTGATATGTCATAAACTAAAACAAAGAGAAGAAACTTAAAACTGAAGAAACACTAACAAAATAAAGGAAAGGATGAAACAACTCAAAAATAATCATTATGTATCCGTTATGAGTTTGAATACCGATTTGGTAAGTGACTGATATGCGAGGTCAAACACGAATAATAATGAATGTTTGTATTTAAATCGGGGGGAAAAATTAAACCCGGTTTGCGATTCTTATGGAAGAAGTGGTTTTAATTATCCCACACTCTTCTAAGAATGAAAATGTCCAATTTTTTCTGCATTTCCGTAAACCAATTTTTTTCCGAGAGAACATTGAGCAATTTACAAGAAAATTATCGACTGCGAAATCAAATTATTCTTTCTAATTATTCTGATAATTAATTATAAAATTAGAGCCTTACCGAGTGTGTAGGTTGAATTAGTCCTGCAGCTGCGGCTGCCGCGGCTGGGTGGGGGAATGCCATAGCCCATTGCTTTTGAGAAGCATTCATCACGCCAGAAGCGTCTGAGCATGTCAAGGCAGATCTTCCGTCGCCCCCTAGCGGATGATGATTGTGAAACTCAACGAGGGCGCCTTTAGATTGCAGTTCCTTTTCATGATCTGTGAGCATGTTTTGAAGTTGTAATATGTAGTTGATAGCCAGTCGAAGTGTCTTCACCTGAAGAAATAATCTTATCTTCAGCCACTTTCTTTTTTTTTGTAAAACTGCAATTGCTAAATCAGTTCGTGAAAAAAGTGAAGAAAAAATTGATTAGCCAGTTCGCCAGAACAGATTTTTGATTTTAGCCGATTTCCATAAAAAAAAGCAGGAAATACAACAAAGGGAGAATTAGCTAATTGTTCACGCTCTATAGTGATCGATGTTCTTAAGGAAAGGAAGTGCCCTAATACGTTATTTGAAAAATCATAATCCTTCCGATGTATATCAGTGCTAATTTCTGTACGCCCCGCAAAGTCAAGTACCTTTTAATCTTAATTGAAAGGGGAGACATTTTTATTAGATAAAACAACAGATTATTAGCTAGACTAACAAACGTACGATAAGTTGAAATGAAAGATACAAATTAGCTTATTGATTTCACGATGAATTGAAAAAAGCCTTGATTTTTGCTTTTAAAAGGTCTGATCTTGAAAGGAAAACAGTTTTTCTAGGCTAAACATAAAAGGTTGTAAATATAATTGATAATTTGGTAGATTTTTTTCGCGCTTATCTTGGCAGTTTTGCTGAAATAAAATTAGCCCGCCTTTAGAGTCCATCTATTTTTTCAAGATTATAAATAAATATTTAACTTCAAATACTTTTTTTGTGCCCTTGAAAAACAATTACTTCAGTTTTTTGCTTACTCGATCAATGTTTTATTTTTTGATGAGTCCGGCATCCATCCATGAACACAATTTTTATATTTCAACCGAAAACATATCCAACCCAAAAGTTTTTGTATCGATTTTCAAAAAAACTTTCCTGATGTTTCCGAGGAGCTCGAAAAACTGATAAGGAGAAAAAGAATGACCTAAAACATAGCCATAATTTTTAAAGTATTATCAAAACCTACCTTACTCTAGCCGTCAATCAAAACTCGGCAATTTGAAAATTATGTTAAAAGAAATATTTTTGTCTCTGGGATATTTTGACGCAATATTTTTGTCTCTGGGATATTTTGACGCAATTCGATAGGAATTTCCACCGAGTTTGCGTCCATCAATCCCCCCCCCTGCTGTTTGATATCATTGATGTTACTCAAATATCATATTGGGAAAAAAAGTTTCTTTACAATTCATGGGTTACTATAGACGCCACCCAATCTGTATAGCCATGTGCTTGCCACGAAAATATATTTCATTATAAAACACTAAAACAGAAGTGGATCTAGGATTTTTTCAGTTGGGAATCTTCAAAAACCAGTTTAAAATATTTTGTTTGTTTATCTACCATTTTCAGTTCGACATGATTTTTCGAGCTCTCATATGAGATAGTTCTTTAAATGTTTCAGAATTTGCTCTTTTCATAGTCTACAAGCCATAAATGCACACAGTTTTGAATACGTGTACCTTTTTTTAATCAATCCCCCCCTCCGTTGACCAAGTTAGCATCTTAGTAACTTCCACCACAGCATTTAGATCGGATTAAATTTGCTAAAGTGCTGCTGCATGTAAAGTTCTCCATTCTGATTGGCTGAAAAACTCCAACTTATAACCAAGTTAACATCCCCGCCAAGCAGTTTGGGGGAGGATGTAAACTTGGTCCCAATTGTAATCTATATATTTTTACCTTGGATAGCTTCTTGTGTTTGGGTTCGGTTGGAATCTGCCTCCTGAGAAGTGAGAACCCCTCGTTCACCATTTGAACTCGTCTTCTCTCTCTGGCATTCCTCCTGGCCACCAAGTGGGGTTCCTTCCTGCCCCCCACCGAGTTTGCGTCGTCCCCGTCTCCATACCCCCCGTCAAGCACATCATCCAGAAAATCTCCTTCGTCGTCCATCAAGTCGTCGTTCTCGTTGCCTCGCAAATCCGAAGCCTCGGAAAATTCCGACAGCTTTCGCGACTTTTTGGGAATGTCCGAAGTCGTGTTAACATGTGCTCGTTTCATGTTGAGGAACATTTCGTGTATGTTGGTTAAATCGGGTGAAAGGGATTCGGATTTTACTTTCATGCTTTTGTCCTTCAAGTACTCCATATTGGTGGTCAATTATAATTTTTATCAGAAACCTGAAGGTTTTCGATAGGAAGTCTTATAATTTTTGTTCGAAAGTTGAAGAATAAAAAACAGAAAAGAGAAGTTTGAAGAATTTGAAAGGGCTTAACCTGCTGTTTTTAGTGTTGATTTAACTTAGAAATGATTTTTCTCGCCTGTTGTTTTTGTTGTTGTTTTTAACTTTTTCTTTCCTGAAGGTGATGATTAGCTATTATGAAGACACATTATCAGAGCAATCCTTGAAAGAAAACAACAGCTATTTTTTTTTCAAAATCCTGCTCTCTGATTGGTCGAATTGATCCTCCAATAAAGTCTGCTGATAACGCTGTGAATTTCTTACGGATAAATACAAACAGCAAAGCATAGTGAAGCCGGATTGAATACAGACAATATCTATTTATAATATAATGAATGATTAGTTGCGATCGATCAATGAACGCCTGAAAGGTAGACACTTTAGGGGTGAATCTTTGATTTTATCGGAGGGGGACTCAAAACAAGATCAACATTTTAGACGTGTTTTTTTTTCAGGTCGACCGAAACTTTTATGAAAGAAAGTTTGAAAATTTCAGCGAAAATTGTCATTTTTTGAGCAATTTTGACTAGAAAATTGCGTTTTTGCAGCGCGCGCTTCTCAATTTTAGTATAGACTGGCGGTTTCTAGACCAAAAAAAGATGTCGCAAAAACGCCGAATGGGCCCTTTGGATAATCAGGGGGTTGAATTCCTATGCTGAATCGGATCAAATTCAAGCCTGGTTGACAACAGAAAGTTCGAAAATAAAAACCACACAATTTTTAATGATCAGCCACGGTCCTAATTAATTCAATTCTGTGCATGCTGAAACTCCAATTCCATTTTGTCAATCATCTCAAAGCATTGTTTGGCATAATTTACTTCCACTTTACCTGTTGGGCAGAAAATTGTCAAACCAAATAACAGAGTTAGAGCTTTCCATTAAAATGTATCATAAATATCTTGATTTTTTTTTCGAAAATCTGTACACCATTCGGAAAATTTGGTATCTGGACATCAGTTCATGTATAATTAGGTGCTTTTTTTTCGTTTGTCCTTTTTTAAACAATTGGTTTTCGGCAATTTTTTTGTTTTGTTTTTCTTTTTGGCTGAACAATACTCCGTTTTTTGGACATGATGGCCCAAAACACTGAACTTTAAGAAATAATGAGTCGACTCGTTAGCAAGTTTTTTTCTGCAGCGAAGAGTTTAAATCAAAATAACGAAAATACAATAAACATTTTTTTTTTCAAATCAAAAATCCTCTAAAACGTGGAATTTTTTGAGTCTTTTAAAATGCTCGTTAAAGCTCGACACAATTTTTCTGTGCTGTAACTAACTATTAAGTTAAGTTTTAAAAACTTAAGAATTGCTTTCATCTTGATTTGCTATTTTTCCTTGGGCAATATTGCCTCCACTCTAAAGCAACGAGCACTGGTCACGGTGGGCCTTGAACCATTGACCTCTGGACTGAGAGGCCGCGACTTGGCGACTTCGCCGCCGCTTCTCTTTACACTCTTCCTATTGGTTCCTGCTTTTTTCTCCAACTCAATTATAAGCAAAAACAGCTTCTTAGCTAATTATTGTTATTGTGCAGAGATAAATTTAAAATAACTAAAAACCCCTCTGGAAATTAAGTTTCACTTGAAATACTTTGGTCAAAATATTTTGATAGTCTAGAACTTTTGAGAAATTAACAAGCAGGGGTGAGGCATAGCTCAACTTATTTATCCAGACACCCAAAATATTTCTGGGTAATTTTTGGAGAGGGTTAATAATGACTTGTTCACAAATTCATTCATCACCAGTCAAGTGGAAATTTCTTTTATTTTGCGGAAGTGAAAATTACCCAGCATTTTTATTCTTACTATTTTACCGTTTCCATTTCGTTACGCAGTGTCCTCACAAATCTTACCCCGGATATAAAAATAAATCACAAAACGAATTGTTTTCTTTACTGAACTGAAAACTGAAAATTGCAATTTTTACACGATTGTAAGTGCCTACTATTTAGTCAATTGAATTTTAGCTATCTGTATTTTTTTGCATAAAACGCGTTAGTTAAGGTATGAATAATAGATAGTGGTGAAAATTGTTTGAAAAACAAAGTTAATCACGCAGCGGAAACATGCCAGGTGGAATAAGGGGAAGCTCCTCTCTGATTTTTGATTGACGAATCAATATTCAATGCGAGCTGGTAGAAATTTACTATTAATTCAGCTCAAAATTTATGGTTTAATTGCATTTTTTATTGCATGCAGATAAAAAACTGAACAATTATTCGGTTAGAAATGTCAGACAGAATGTCTTGAATTGCATGCGTGAAGAGGATTTTTTAACCTTTGAAACAATTATGTATATTGAGGAATCCTAACATCATCTTAAAAGCATGACTTTCAACGATTCATTGTAGAATTCTTTTCATACAAGATGAAAGAATCAAGATTTTTATGTTAATCAGCAGAAAATTATTTTTTTGGTTTTGATCATCAACGACTGATTTTTAGACAATTTTATGAGTGCTGTCTATTCAAAAATTAAGCTTTTTTTGACACCAACTGGATGATTTGTAACGCAAAATTGTTGATTTAAAAAATCAGCACAGCCACATTGAACGAAGTTTTTGGTCCTAAAAAATTTAAAAACAACAACAAATTACAGGTTTTTAAACCTTTTTGTCATTAGGTATACTCTCTTACTTTGTTAAAATGTGAAAATATTACTTCATGGTCATGGTTAATAGTGGCAAAAACTCTTATTTTTGCAAAATCTGTCTATTCACACGCCGTTGTTGAGGCTTAGAGTAAGAAAATAATCAATTTTCAATCATTTTTAGATGCGAAATCAGTTCTTCATCAAACCATTTACAAGCAACGTTATATTTTTTTTACATACAACGAACTTCACCCAGAACTATTTTTTTTGTCGTTTTGAATGCGTAGATCAATGAAACAAACGATGTTGAATGCAACAGATGAAATCATTTGAAAAGAAAAAGAATTCAGCTCTTTAGTTGAGGTAAAATATTTTCTTATGAAACTGTGCGACACTCCAATCATTGTTCTGAATAATGATGAATGACGAATTAATTAGAAATTTTAAATTCGTCCGAACAAATTCAGTCGAAATGAAAAATTGATTCATTTTTTAAAAATATTTACATTTGGTTTTGCTCAAGTTGCTCGTTTCTAAATGGCTGAAAAAAACCAGTAGCCAGGTTATGATCTCTAAACTAGATTGAGAGGGAGGTTGTTTACTAGGTCCGGGTGTTTGAAGTAAATTGGGTGGAAAATTTCGAAATCTTCAAAAAACTTAGTACAAAAACGTTGCAATTTTTTTTAAAAAAATCTTCCCGCTAAACTCAATGTTAAGTACAAAGTGATACAATTTGCATCAATTACTACATTAGTTGGATCAATAAGCGTGCCTCAACTCAGCTTGTAAAAACTTCTGAGCTGTTTGATTTCGCCGTATTAGCTACGCGCCTAGGATAAATTGGAAGCTTCAAGTCTTTTTTTTAGTTCCAAGTGGTAGAAATTGTCCCAAATGACGACTTCAGGTTTTTATTAAACGTTCTTAAAATAAAGCTCAAAAATCAGATTTTTGACGTAATTTAAAAAACAAAATTTCAAAGGTTGTAAAAGTTTTTGGAAAAGCTGAATTTTTTGGTGTTTTCGAAGAAAAGTAAAATTGATTGACATGAAACAGGCGAGAAAAACTCAAAACTCACACTCCTAAAATGAACCCGCCCTTAACATTTTCTTTAGGAAAAACTCATTTCATGCTTTTTTGACTAGATTGAAGAAAGTAAACCGGAACTGTATTTTTCTATTTTTTTCACTTTGAAGGAATTTTCACTTTTATTTTTTTATTTATAAACCATCGCATGGCATGTGTTTTAATTCAATTTTTGCTATTTTGTCTTAATTTTCAACACATTGCTTATCCAAAATCAGATTGAGTCATTTTATTTTTCACACAAGTTCAGTTTTTGAATTGATATATTTTTTAAATAGCTTGTTCGGATTTTGGTCAAGTTTCATTTTGGTAGTGACAAGAAAAACTGCAAAAAAGCTATATTCTGTTTTTCAGAATGTTTTGTAGCGGAGAAGAACAGCAAATTAAAGCGTCGGCAAAGAAACAAAAATTGTTTAATTTTTTTGCGAGTGAGATATTACAAATTAGCGTCTCTACTGTACCAAAACAACTCATGACGTTTTGAAAGCTGATTTTTGAATTTGTTTTTCAAAAAAACGTACATTTTCGTTATTCATTGAAAAAACATGACTCTTTGATACCAAGAAAACTTTATTTAGTTATCATTTAGAAAAGTGGAATCAGTTTAGGTTCCACCAGTAACCCAAATTTTTTCTTTTAAAGAACTTTTGGTGTAAATGTTTGCTAAATGCGCTTCTTGAAAAAATTCCATTTATTAAACCGATTTTAAGTTAAACGCAGGTTTCTTTAGCAGCTGGGCCAGTGCAAGCCCAACTACGAAAGAATTGAGGAATTCAGGATCAAGTTCAAATTGTCAAAACTTTTTTGCAAAATTGGTCTAAAATAACTAACCCTGGCATTTGTAAGCGGGACTTCTTTGAAAATGGGAACATCAACTAGCCGCTCGCGAGAGCCCTCACTCACAATTGTTTTTGCTCAAATTCTTCCATCTGAACTCTACCTTTTTAGCTTGGTGTTTTTATAATCGAACTCAGATTTCCCAAATATGTTTCCCAGATTTCCCAGAAAAGAAAACAAAGTGGAAAAAAAACGTTGATAAATTTCAACGAAAATTTTTTTTCAGCCCACGTCGGCACAAAAATAAGCTTATATTGACGCTAAAACTGCCTTAGAAAAATTATAGATATGCTGAGCCAATTCAGGGTTGACCTCGTAAAACAAAAAATGCTTGCCATTCAATTGCATACAACAGATTTGTCTATTGAGTGGAAGGAAAAAATGTTTAACATTAACCTTCCTTATAAGAACTGACATCGCTTCCAAAAAATATTCTAATTCATTAAACCAAGTTTACTGCTTTTAGCCTATGAATTTTTTGGTATAAAGCTTGATTGTTTTTCGAAGGGTTTTACATAGAAAGATAAATTTTAATCTGTCTTAAAAACAGGACACGATTTCAATCACCTATTTTTCCGAAGTAAAAGCTTCCAAGACATATACAAAATCATAGTTTGTTACTCACAGTTCTGAGTCAAGTTTGATACTTTAATGTACGTGGCAATTCTCCAATTTCAGTCCAACGCTGAGATTTTTGCCTCGTAACTAGTGGGTGATCTTGTATGAAACAATTTTTGTAATTGAGTTTTCAGACAGAAATCAAAACTTTTATACGACTCAAAATAATTTTATTTTAGTTTGATGAAAAAATGCTTGTCATACCGTTTCCTTGTATGCAGGGTCAGATATGGGGGGAGGCCTTTACTAAAAGATTCGACCCCTACCGACCCTTTGTAGTATTGACGGACCCTAAAATTTTTTTAAAGGCGCCTTTGGCGCCAATATATACTAATTTCTAGGGGGAAGCAGACGCCAAAAAAACGCATTTTTTGGCCAAAGTTTTCCAAAAATTGCTTAAAAACGATTTTTTTTTACTTTTTTTCAAAATTTTGTCTGCGCGCAGAAATTTTGGCCAAAACAGGATCTTTTTAGTGCTTTGGGAAGGCTCGGAAAATCAATTTCGTCAGCCCAAAAAAAGGTGACAAAATATTCGAAAATCCTCCCCTCCTCGAGAAAATCTTGCACATGCCCCTGCTTGTATGTGAAAATGTTTGGCACAGAGATTTTATTCAATTTGCTGTATTTATGGACCTAAATGGTATTAAAAGACAAGGAATTTTTCATATATAGAAATTGTCTGGCAAGAAGCTTTGGTCAAACGGGATAGTACCAATCGTAAAACCCTTGGGGGGATCCATGAAAAGAAATTATCCGCCATACCGTCCTCTTCAAATGCGCTATTGATTTAGTATTGTACTGGAGCAACATTCATGTGTAATAATGATTTGTTTGGATAATCATCTTTCACTTTCTGCAGGAATGAATCGTTTTGAAAGGGCTAAGTTGAAATTAAAATGGTTGAAGTGTATCCGATTCCAATCAGAAGTATGCCCGATTCCAATCGAAAGTATGTCCGATTCTAATCGAAAGTATGTCCGATTCTAATCGAAAGTATGTCCGATTCTAATCGAAAGTAGGTCCGATTCCAATCGAAAGTATGTCCGATTCCAATCGAAAGTATGCCCGATTCCCATCGAAATCATCAAAAACCACGCAGACTCAATTGGCACCATCGCTGGATCAGATCAACCCGTGGACTCATAGTTTTCTCCGTTCCAACTAAAAAAATTAGCAGACGCGCAAAAAAACAGGCCAGATGAAAAACAAGACTATGACTTCCAGCTACCCCCTTTTCGTTTTCTTCTAGTCCAGTCAAAGCACAATATCAAAAAAATATTTTTTTCAACAAACGATGGAGTATCAACCGTGTGAGTAGCTATCTAGTCTCTGGCATTTAAAAATATATATATATCGTTTAAATATTAACGAATTGCTTCGAGGTTAAATAACTTTTACGATTGCCAAGTTGAAATCCTTTATTTCATGAGAAAACTTGAAAACTCTCAGAATAGTTGTTGGAACACTTTCAAACACATTTCACCTGTTTCTTACATCAAAGTTTCTGTACTACGACAATCAATGTGACCTCGAGCTTGTTTGAAGTTTACACACTTGAGCGAACTTTGAGATTTTATATCAACCACTCGAACTTGTCAAAGGGATAATTACATTTTCCCCTATTTGAAAAAAAAGACTGAAAAAAATTAAATTGAAAAAAATCAGCTTGATTGGATGTATCGTTGATATAGAAATAAATATTAGTGTCAGCCAAAAGTGTTTGTTTTTGCTGTTTTTAAATGGATAAAAGGAAAATGTCTTGAAAGTAATTAGCTCTAATCAATATATAGCTGCATTTTGAAAGGGTGTTAATGTTAAAATGTGCACGTCTCTGATTTTACAAGCACTCAGACAA